CAAAAAAAAAAAAAAAAAAAAGTGTAAATTAAGGGAATATGTATAACACTTTTACTTTCCTGGCTGTTGTATATATAACAGAGAGAAAGTATGGCAATCAGTCTAAAAATGACCCCTTCAAAATTTTTACATTTTTGGGCTCAGGACATCTTGAAACGTCGAGAAATGCAAAAGAAATTTTGGGGGCTTCTTTTTCTATATATGGATGTTACGGTGTACATGTGTGAGGCACAATTTTGTTCATCCTCTTTGAAGCTTACTAATTCCTGTGCTTTTCATCAAAAATTTTTGAAATTTTGCAGAAAGGTTTGTTTATTAGGGAAATTAATGGTATTAAATTTTGTTGATTAAAGGTCAAGAGGGTGAGGAGATAAAGGGATTTGTGTATCTCCAATGGGGTCAGACTTAATGACGATTTTACTTGTTATTAGCATTTATAATTTTTTTATAAAACTCAATCCTACCCTCAAAATTAAGCTTTTTGCCATTTTGTAATATTTAAAAATATAAAAAGTTTTTATAATAAAATATGATAACAGATGGTACTACCAAATGTTGCCAGGGAAAGTTAAGCAACTCATTGCTGGATTTTGCTTTTTTTTTTATTCAAGATAGTATGTACTGTATCTTTAACCATATGTAAACTTTTTAAGTCAGCTAAATAATAATACAATTAAATACAGTATTAAAAAAGAAAATCATTTGGAAGGACAAAAATGTCAAAGTACATGAAATTATGGGAAAACATCACTCAGCATACAAATCCATAAAAAATGGTGGATTGGTGACATAGCATTACCCTACACTATTAAAAATTTGATATATTTTCAAAAACAAGAAATAAAATAAATAATTTAAAAATTGTGTATATTGCAGGAAATGTAGAAACACCGAAATGTAATTTATGGGAAAATTTGTTTTTAGCCTCTCAAATTAAACTATCTACTCATTGAGTTGTTAATTATTAAATAAATTTTATAAAAAAGTATTTAGATTCATTCTTTGCTTCAGTTATTTATATATTTGATAGTCATGTTTGTAAATGGAGGATTGTACGGTACTGTACATATTATGCAGCTTTCCTCAAAACTGCTGCTTATCTGACTAGAAAAGACAATTCAGCATGGTAATATCTTATTGGTTTTCACGATTTATAGAATTTGGATTTTATATACAAATAGTAGTTTGTAGAATAAAAATAATCTATATAAAATTTTCCTCATATTTTATTTTACAGAAAATTTATTAGTAAATTTACATTACACACAAACATAAGAATTTCATTCATGAAGCATAATCATTACTGTAGTCAATGGCAATTTATATAGAGATTATTACTATTTGTTGTTGTTATATTTATCATATAATAAATATTAAATATTTTTAGCTTGGACTTCCACAAAAAATAAACATTCCAGAAAGATATATTGATGATGATCCAGAACAATTATCGGCCACAGAGAGACTAAAAAGAAGTTTGAAAGCCGAAACCATCCGTCGCATGCTATCGGAAACAACTACGTTAGTGATGTTTTAAATTTTTACTAAAACGTTAATGTGACAAAATATTTGAAAATTGCTATGTTAAATCTTTTTCTCTTTGTCGGTGGATATAACCACCAAACACTGATAGTTACAGGTTTTCCAAGTTTTCTTTATATGTGTGCATGTTTAGCATTTAAATAGTGGCCAATTTTTCATAGAAAGTGCTCCTGGAAGCACTTATTTGGCCACTTGTCCCATTGTTGAATTACCTTATTCCATTAACCCAGTCTATTTCTCTCAAATTTCCCAAGTTACTTGAAATTATCATGCAATTATATTTTTTATTTTTTTTCTAATAACTATGTTATTAATATAAATGAATTTTGTGAATGATTACTAAAGTTTCTTATTATTATATAATTTATTTCAGTTATGAAGATATTGGTGATAAGCAAGGAGAACCAGGAGAGATGCTAAAGAAAAGAGTAGATGAAGAAAAGAAGAGGAGAGCTCATTTATTAGCATTAAATCATGCATTAGCTAGAGAAGTAATGGAAAAAAGTAAAATTGTAGCAGGTTGGAATTGTGTTTGTTTATTCTCTAATTATACAGTTAATGTTTTAAATTAATGAGAATGTATATTAAGAAGGCGGTTTTCATGTTTACTTAACCTTTGTAGAGAGGGTTAGTCAGATATGGTGCTATCACAATGTAGTGGAGAATAAACATGGGAAATTTTTTAAGAATTTTCCCATGCGTTTTTCTCATTTCCATTTCAGAAAAAAAAAAAAAAAACATTTTTAACAGTTACGTCTAGTAAAAAAAATCTTTCTTTATTGCCACATAATTCCTTTTTTATGTGATTTTTTTTTTGCGGTAATTTTTACCTAGTTTTTGGCGATATCTGCAAAATTTTTTTGCGGATATAGACGTCAATCTCTAGTGCCATGTGATCGCCCTTGATGGGTATATTATATTTATATTAACCACTCTGCAGTAAATTTATGAACCACTCTGCGATCACTGCAGAGTGGTTAATATAAATGTTTATTAATAATTGTTTTGAAATTTTCTTAACATCATAAAGCATTTTGCACAGACAAAATCAACACAATGAAACTCTATTAACAACTTTTAATTCTAAAAATAAATAAAAAAGAAAGGGAATCCTTTGACTAATTATAATAAATGTATTTAAAATCATTGAACTAACTTGTTTTTTTAATTAAATATATTATGCTTCATCTTTTTGTACTACTATTAATATTTTATGTTTTTTAATTAATAACTTTTGGTATATTTATTAATTTTATTATACTTAATAAATGCAGAATGTTCATTATCAGTATATTAAAGATATTTAAGATTTCAATTTATATAATTATTACTTATGCTTCACAGACAGATTATAAGATACTCAGAGTATCCTAATACTATACTGCATTAAGAGACTATTAGTGTGAATTCTAACCAATCTAAAATTGGTTCATTTATGGGTATAACTGCATTAATTTCCAAAGTAATTAATAATTTGACCTAAAGGTAGGCTATTAAAGTTAATTTTGAATAAAATTATGTAAATGGAAGCTTTTGAAAGAAAATATTGATCCAGTGGGGCTTACAGGCTCACAAATCTCAAAAATAAATTTAGGCCATATATTTTCTATATATTTTAATGAGTTGAGGTAGGGACATTCTACACATTTTCTGAGGAGAAAAATTGCAACAGAAAGGCAGATTATTTACAGCTGAAAGAGCTCTGAAAACAAACTTAAAACATAGCTCAGTTTTTATGTTTCTGTGTGCAACATAAGCCAGTTGGAGTGGTCATTTGAGAACATCTTGGAACTATCACAAGTGTCATATTAGTCAAACAATATGGTTGAAAAGAGAATGTGAGGTAACTATTTTTAATTCAGTTATGTTAACATGTATGTTAAGATAACATCCTGAATTATATGGTGAAACTCATAAAAATTATTAGGATTTTGCAGCGAAGTATTCAATATTAAATTGCTTACAGTTATTCAGGCTTCAGGCTTATAATTCATCCAATGAATTGTAAGTCTGAAGTCTGACTAAGAAAATTAATTAGTAATATAAACATGGTGCTAATTGGATATTTTCTTTGACTGTCTACTATATTGTCATTCAGAAAAAGGAAACGGAAAGATGACTGAAATGTATTGTTCTCTCATAAATGTTTCTGAGCAGAAAACATCTTAGTGTGTTCCAATCTTAAAAGATCTTAGCTCTATAAAAAATGGATTATAAACTGCTGCAAATAAGAACCTATTTTGAAAGTAAATTAAGAATGTTACAAGTAGAATTACTTAAATCTACTTAAACTTAAATAATCTATCCTAGGACAATTTAAAAGTGTAAAAACATTTCGTAAGTCAAAAATTTACTCCTAAAAGTATTAATGATTTCAAGAGCAACAAAAGGATTTAAAATTGTTTCTGATTAATAATAAATGTATATTTGTAAGTTGCATTATTTTAACTTACATATTGATAGTAAGCTTAAGGTTAAGGTTTCCGCTTATCATCACTCTTTGGGGGACCCGGAAACTAATCCAGATGGGTTTAAAAACCCCAGAAATGTTTTCGGGCATGGCCAGACTCAGATACGATGTGCCTCCATTGTGGACTTGGCCGAACCCACAATGACTGTGATTAAAAAGGTACTCTACTTTCTGCCTGTGTCAGAAAGTAAAGAAGAGAGTAAATAAAAAATTATCTCAGATCTTATTTAATTATTTACAACATAACCTAAAGTCCATTATCAAAAGTAGTCAAAAAGTATCTGTATGTTACTTTATTTTCTGCACAAATTTAATTCTTTCTTAGGTTTATCTGGATTTTTCTTCCATGCTGACAGTTGTATGTTATTAAAGCCATTATCAATAGCTTCAACTGTTAAAAGCCTTAAGAAAGAAAATATCTCTCTCGGTTTCATCTTATAAGTGACTTGTCATGTATTGTAAGGTGCAGCCTTTCATAAAATTGACCTTATCAGATCAACATCCAATTTATCATACAATATATTTGTTCTCGAGGTACTCTGTATCTCGAGTTTTTCAGTTATTATCTCCCAAATGGAGATTTTGTGGCTACCCTGCAGAAAGAAATTTTTCATTTATCACATTGTTAAAATAAAGCAAAGAAAATTTAACAATGTGTTCATATCATGATAATATTTTTACTCTGAAATGGGCCATTGAACCATGTAACTAAATTATGTCAATGGTAATACTGTAAATGCTGTTTCCCGTTTAATATAATATTGCTAGTATTATATGAAATATAATGTTAATGTTCTAATTATACTTTGATGATTTTCAAAAATATTAAATCTTTGTTTATTTTTTTTCTAATCTTGCATGGGGTTTTAGGAATTTCATTCTTGCTTGATTTTATCGGGAATGAAGTTATTTAGATTATTTTGTGAATGATTT